GAGGTAAGAAACAGGAACCCAAGACTGTTGGCTTACATGAATGGGCATCCCCACTATTCTCCCACCAAGCGTATACCCCGCTGACCTCAAACGTTTGTTATAAGAAAACTTCCATTATTTTCATGATTGGCAACTGCTCTGTTGCGAACTACATGCTGTCTTTCTAGTTATTCCCAAGCCCCTTTAAGTTGGTTCCTAATGGGTATTTTTCGGCTTCCGCTTCGGTTTTCCTTTACAATGAAACAGCAGAGATATTTTATCTACAGTTCCAGCCTCAATATTTTGTCGATCCAAAAAACTAACAAACAAAGCAAATTAACTCCATCGCTCTTTCTTTTAGGCACAAGAAAGTGATCTTGCAGCAGGAATCCGGTACGAGTTTTATCTATGCAGTTTTGTTTAAAAACTGACGGGGTAATGACAGATGTCGCCACGCACAGCTCAGTTCTTGACGCGAAGGGAAAAACTCACGCGCCGATAACGTCCCACCAGCGTTGCAAACAAATCTAATTAACAATCAAATTTAGAATCTCCTCCGTTTTCATTTACATTTGAGCTTCGTAATTCGATGCTTTTAATGAAGTACCGACAGTATTTCAAATCAAAACACGTTCTTTTTGAAAGATTTATGATTATTGAATTGTCAACTTATTACGTAAAGGTGTTTCTATGATGAAAGCCATGGCTACTCCTCAGTAAAATACAGCTATACTTTTGCTTAAAAAACTACTCTTCACCAGTATGATTACTCCAAACAACAACATAGTTACGGAGACTCTGCATCTTAGTCCGTCCTGGTTGGGTTCAAACAATGGAGACGAGAGGTGTACTGACATGTAGAAGACAAGGGGGAAATTTTGCCACCATCGTGACGATCCCGATTGGACAAAAGTAAAACAAACTTCAATATGTTTGCCTGCAGCTTTCCCTTGGCGGAAACTGCAAGTCGAAGCAAATAGCTGTGAGGTTGCAAAGAGCCCAACATTCACCTATCCAGGCTGAAATTTCAGTGGGAGGCCAGAACAACCCGAAGACCCCGGAGTTCCCGGCAGCCTGGACGAGCGGAGTTTGTAGACCATGTACACCTGCTGAAAACTTCCGATTCCAATTTCGGGACAAGAGAGAATCGCTTTCCTGATCAAGTTGTCAACTGCCCTGCGTGCGACAGCGTCGCAAGGAGGGGTCGAGCTTTGAAGTTGTGTGCTATTCACCAGTGCCACATAAAAAATGAAATAATTTATAAACACAGTAAACATGACTTGTGTCCACAAGTTGTATATGGTATGCTCAGGTCACACGCCAGTCTCAAAACAATACAGTACACACTTGAAAACAAAAACTCCGTGATCTCCGATCTCAAAAGATCTCCGTGTATTAAACTTAAATATGGGGAAGGAAAAGAGAGAGTGTAAAAAATGTTTCAAATTCAATCGCTTTTGATTATGTACTCCATTCATTTCTATTTTTCATGCTACTGATGAATCAATGATTTCTAAACGTGACAAGCGCTGTTGCTTGAAGGAAATGGAAGATAGAAAGACTTTTGTCAGCGCATCAACGGTGGCTCTACTCTGCTGTAACCATTTTTGATCTTCTAAATGCTTTGAAAAAGATTACTGACCATCGATCGTAAGTATTACTGACCATCGTAAGTATTATCTATTACCGGCAACTATTGTTGCTTTATTTTCAGAAGAGCAACAAGGGGAAGCGGTTCACAATTGTTGCACTGAATATGTATAAGTCGACAAATAAAATTCAAAATGCAAAAAAAAACAAAAAACAAAATCCACCTCATCGTTCACGAAAGTTCTCAGCTTCGTCTTTTACTGCTGTCAGAAATACCTTATCCTCTTGTAATTTTTATTCCCGTGTTTCCACGACACAGTTTGATGGAACTATAATTGCCCTTATCGCCATTTTGAGGAAAACAGATACCGGTATCAGGCAAACCGTCTTCTGAACCACCCCCCTCGCGCCTTGCCCTGCAATAACCTTATGAAGTCGTTCATTTTCGGATACTGACATTTTTGCCGGGGTCATGGGTGGGGTGTGAATACGCGACTGAATTGGGTAATGTACAGAAAATTAAGGCTTGTAATGAGCGTCGAAAGTGGAATTGAAATATTTCGGTGATACGAAATGATGGTGATATTGGGGAAACTTAATGCGTGTGTTGTCTAATTTCTCATCTTGATATGAAGTTCAAGCTCGTCAAACTGGTATCGTCGCAGGGGAAAAGTACTGGCCTCGACCCTGAAACATCGAGATGGTCATAGCAGGTCATGGAAACAACTCCACACAAAAGAACTAAGAGGTGTTCTCTCTTTTTTTTTTGAAAAATATCCGTGTGCATTTCCCCCTTTGAAATAATACAAGCTACTTTTTCTTGTTTGAAGCTTTGGTCTGATTATGGCGGAAGAAAAAAAACACAAAGACCGCTAAAAAAAAAAAAGGTGTGAAAATTTGGACCCGACGGAAACGTCGATATTATTATAGTTGTACATCAACCAGGATTGGGAGTTACACCGATTGGTTGCATACTGTAGCTCGTAAAAATAAATGAACAGACTTTGCAAATTTCGTGAAAAATCTCTCACTGATGTTCTGAGGTGGTCCACAAGATCACGAGGCACTCACTGTTGACGGGATAGGGCCTAGAGGAAGAGCGTTTATCTGGAAACTGGGGGACTGTCACTGAACTTTGCTGCTTAACGTGATGTGAAATATCAACAGTCTAAACTATCAGACAAAAAGGGACATTTCACTTAAATTAAAACTGCTGTGATTTCAAATTGATGGTCGATCATGATATTACAGTCCAACTTTCCTTTTTCCAAATCCATATGCAGGATATAACATTAATCTGTTACAGCCGCCATTCACAAAGCCACGAGAATAGCCGATGACCTCTGCTGGAAACTCCTCGGAAACCTCCTCGTTATAGTCGGCGCAGAATGTTGAAGAGGGATGCCATACCCAAACACACGTGAAAAGTCACCATCAACGTCATACCCCTTGCCTCGGAAGCCCACCAAAAACCAACACAGGGAGGCGACACAATTCTCCAGTGGTCACGCTAAACTGGAAACTTTCTATAGACATTAAACCCAAGCCGTCCCACAATGCAATGAGCCAACCACCGCCACATGTAATTTTCGTAAGGTGATGACTTACAGTCAACATAACCACTCTAGGAATCGGTAGCGAGCTCACATTTTGCCAAAAAGTCAGCTGAAACGTCGACTGCTTATAATTTAGGGCGCTTTTTTGAATTAATAAACAATTGGGGTGATTTTTTAAAAATCATCTGTCCCTTAGAATATCATTGCTTAACATTGTTTTTAACCTAAACTGTTTCTCACGGTTGTCGATGACACAACATAATAATGCAGAAAGGAAACTCCCACTGATGTGGTAGATTTGCGATTCCATATTCTCCTCGAGTTAAAAAAAAATTCCCGCAGTAATGATGCATTCGATTGAACACGTCCCCTTGTTATGTTGCTATACACTGTGCGTGCAAACACAAGAGAACCCAACAATTTGAACGGATTTTATCCCTACACCACTACAAAACAGAATCAAGAAGAATTCCACGGCAGTCACAACAATTTAATCCCCTCTCTTTGAACTAACCTTTGGCGATTAATAATGTTTTCGAGGTATCAGCGTTTGGACAAGAAGTTCGACACTCACGGTCGCTTTCATCATCGATACGGAGAAGCGCTTAATCCAACAATGCGCGTGTGCAATCAATAATCTCAATACGTCTATTGCTGTATCATTCTTAACCATCTGATTGAAATTAGGAGCCCATCTGAGCAGGGGGATCTGCCTGTAAGACAGTTCTTCCTGTAGAGTAGATAATTTATACTGAGATCTATTCATGGAACGATTTCTTCAAAATGAGGGGGAATTGATGTTCGATATTGAACGCTTTCATGGTGTTTATAAGGGAAATGGAAATAAAATGTGATGATTTCTTGCCACACATTTCCTTTGTGAAGTTCTTCGAAGATCCAGCTTTCGAGACTCTACACGACTTTCTTATTACGACAGGACAAAACTTGAAAACAATTAAGTTCTCGTTATCAAAGCTCATGTTACCGGGAGGTTATTTGGGGGGACAAGTGATGACGTCAAGTTGTCTCTGGTGGCAGTGTCGTTGAGGGTCGACGCGCCAGTTTGCCAGACACCAAATGTGTGATCGAGTTGCTCGGCAGTATGGCTTATCGTTATTTTCTAATCCTTGCTCTTCAGACGAACTGAACGGAAATACGAGATACCAATGGTGAGATGGAGTCGTGCACTGGAGTCCTTAAGACAAGCTTGTGACTCGAAACCAGTAGTCGACGTGAAGACAGTTTGACACGCGCGTATTAAATCGACGCATGCAGTATAAGTGTAATTCGACGATGTATCATTTTGTATAGAAAAAAAATGTGCACGGATAATGTTTCCAAATATTCCGCATAATGGATTTACACTGGTATATTTGACGAGGAAAGCGTATTTGGGCAAATTTCTATGGACCGTAAGCCCAATACGGGCGAGTATTACAGATGAAACATGTCCGAAACACCCCGGAGGTTACTTGGGTTTAAAAGTACTGAACTGCGACTGCACATGCAGAGAAAACGGTCACCAGAACTCAGCACCCATTAATGGTACAGCGTTGACCGCAAACCTATACCGTTTGACCTTGGCGGTGACCGATATCGATTTTTATAAGCGTGTTACAATTTATAGTTTGGACTTTGTCGTGGCTGGGCTCTAGATCGCTTTGCGGTGGTGTGCACTAGAGGTCGTTATGGTCTGACATTGCACTCGATACTTTTTCATTATGAAACCGAAACTGAATTAATTCAATATAAGTGTGTTTTATATGATTAACGGATCCTTCATTTTGAAATATACCAGATACAATACACGTTAGATTAAACAATTGGATACCGGTAATTCTTTGTTGAAGGGAGCAAGTTAGAATAGGGTCTCACCTGGGCTGGTACTTCCGTGGTACTGATCGTAGGGCTTGTGCGTCTGGACAGCCACCCCGTTCATGGCGTAGATGGCCCCGTCGCTCGTCTCGTAGTACAGCCCCAGCTCCTTGGCCTCGTTCTCTTCCTGGGCCTGCTGTCTCCGCAGAGCCACCTGGGCGGCCATGACTCGCTGGCGCTCGGCGATCAGCGTGCATTTGGCGCACACGCAGTCCCTCCACCGGCAGTAACGCTTGTGGCCCTTGAGCGCCGACACCACGCCATGGTTACGGCACCGGGCGCACTTGGGCGTCCGCGGGTAGGGCTTCTCGGCGCGGAGCAGTAGCGTGGGGGGCGGATGGTGGTGGTGCAGACTGGTCGGAGGATGGTGCGCGGAGGCCGGCAAGTCCGAGTTCTGCTGCGGTTCGATGGATCCTCCAGACAGATTCATGGCACACACGCACGCTCTCCGAGCCAACACAAAAACGGAATCACACTATCGATGAAAGCAAAGCTTCTCACTTATAACTTCCGCTGGTCATTAAAAGAAATAAAAGAAATGCTACGAAGTACCACGGTCAGTCCAGGAGTATAGCGTGTGCCTCAACCGCGGGCACGACCTAGAGTCTTACCGAACCCGGTGCGTGAGTGATGTGTGTCATTGCTCGGCCTCAGCATTACTGTGTTGGCAGTCACAGGTCGTTTCGTCCACGCGATACAGTACTCAATGCTAGCCGGGCCTGCCACGCCAGCGTCTCACCACTGTACTACACCGAGGGGATATCAACCGCGCGACCCGGCGGTGTTGAGTGACAGCCCACCGCTCCGCTCGATCCGCCCTCCTTTGACTGCGTGCGGTTTATTTGTTTTGTCCAGTTGAGACTATACCTTCAACGATACAAGTAACGGTGACACCTGATTGGCCGCGGACCGCGCCTCCGGGCCCTGGTTCTGCGTGACGTCACCTCTCTTTTTTCAATAAACACTTCGATAAAAAAAATACCTGTTTTTAGGTAGGTTCACATTATCAACCTGAGGGCGAAGCTCGCAATTAAAAGCTCATTTCTGAAGGAACGAGTGGTATGTACCAACAACTCGATACAATTTACCAGAAATTTCAGAAATGACGAGGGATAGGCAAGAACAGATAAAAATGCAGATAATGGAAGACAGAGCAAGGTGCATGACTTTCTACCGAACACCTGTCAATAATCAGACCAAGGCAAGCACATTTCATGCAAATAACTTCGCTGAACGAATGAAATTAGCGAGTGGCTTTGTACAATGTGACAAAAGGAATCATCCACACTAGGCCTATGCAGATATTTGACTCAAAGAGAGGGACGCCAAACGATAAAGACATTTGCGTAAATTTTGATAACAATAACTTTCAAAGGGTTGAAAAGTGGCGACACCTGATCGAAGAGATAGTAGCTACACCATTAATCCCACGATAAAGCCTTCTGCAGACCTTTAGTCAAGAAGAACATTGATACAGGGGAAAAATACAAGAAGGCAACAATGAAGAAACAATAAGCAACGTTCGATCAGCCTGACAGACAGGCAGACAGACAGACCATGAAGGAAACACCAACAGATCGGATGGTTTTTCTGGCCTCGTGTGATCTGGCTTTAACCATGTCGGAGAGTGATAAGTGCGTGAGGGACTGGAGGAGTCCCAACGTAATACGTGCTGCGCATCTACCGGGCGTAAGTTTTTGAGACTTTTGGAGCCCAAAAGGGCGCACTGCACAATGTAGCGTGTCTAAAGGCTTTGTACGCGCTACGTGACGTTGTAAGGGCAGATCTAGAGCAAGGGCGAATCCGGGAGGCCCAACGGGGACCATACCCAAAATGGAGCTAAAAATATTTTTCGTGGGGGTGGGGATAATGAGAGATAGGCGACGTTTGGTCTGTTTCATACCTCGTCTTTCAAAACGCACGTAATAAAAGTTCCACATGTAACTGGCTCGCACCTCAGTAAGGCTTTAAAGGTCACGCTAAAAAACCCAAATAATAGCCCGAACAACAAGCCCCCCCCAAAAAAATTGGTTTCCAGATTTCCCCTTGTACAATGTAAAAACTCAGCCTCATACAAGTTCATCTCTTCAAATTATTCCTCTAAGTGAAAATGCGGGCCCTTTTCTTCTACTTTTTTTTTACTATTTCAAATTAATGCAATGTCTGTCAACGTAAGGGGGTTACTTCTCTATTCTGCTGAAAGCAGACGAGGTCCACGCTTTTCTGCTTGGCTCAAACAGTTCCATAGTTGCTACCATGCTATCTTGGTTTCCCGCGAGCTGATCTATCTATCTGCGAGCATACCTGTGCCGCGTTGTATTGTAACATGTTGTGCTGTACTGCCCATGCACTTACTGATTCCAGATCGAAAGGTGATGTTTGCGAGAAGGCTCGTCACTTCCGGGCCACCGTAAGCTGGATCATTCTCAACGACTGTTCCCAAGATGCCAAAGTTGAGGAAATTTCTGTAGTAGTTCTTCCGGTAAACATGGGCCGGTCCTTGATTGCAAGGGCGATTCTGAGCGGCACCATGCGTTGATGGTTGCCTTACACCGAGGACTCTTTCTTCAAACTACCGCCCACCCCGGAGTCATTCACGCCCCGCGACACTCTCGAGTAGGAATTGTTTCATTCTCTGTTGGTTCCCTCCAAATGGGAGTCTCTCGCCAATTAGATAGATACCTCTCACAAACACCTGGGCCATTGAAGGCGCCCCCTGTCAGAATTGATGGCTCTCCGCTTTTGTGAGGGCGAACTTTGTTGAATGTATCAAAAAGGAAACTTACCCCTTGGATAGTGTTGTTTTCATCGAATGCCTCAAAACACCGCCAGGACGACGGAGAGACACTCTCCACCCGAGCAGAAGCGAGCCGTGAAAAGGTAGTTGACTTTTTTCGGAGCGGTCTTTCTTTTTGCCGAACGTTCTCCAACTAAGGAGTAAATTGCGACATCGCATGCCAGACCTTGCCATGTGAAAATACCAAAAGATTAAAAAAAAAATTGTCATGATCTAATGGATCATGCTTAAAGTCCGAAAGTTGAGCAGTCCACCGAACGAGACAAAATTATGGAGCTCACTTAGGGTTTCGACAGTACAGAGTTTGGGTATACAGCAATACATGGTTATCGTGAAAAAAAAGAAGATTTTTTTACATTTTCAGTAAGAAAAGCACCTAAGCTATCTAATCAGCATCAATCAGCATAATCGAACCTGCAGTCACCCAATGAAAATTATCAACGCTTCCTGTGAATATTTTCTATCATGGGTGAAATTGGAGGGCCCTAAAATGCTAGCACTCTAAAAATCATTCTCGGTTCAGATTGACCAAGCATCTGTTACAAGGTTTTCAAGATCAAAAATTCCCTTTTCTGGGTCCATTGACCCATAACAAGTCATTCTGACATGGAAAAGTGTCGCTATTGTCCCGAAATAGCTAATTCAGAATCACATCCTGAGTCAACCTGACCTGAGAGTTTCCACAATGCACAATCAGTACGGTTAGCCATTATCGTTTCAGTTTTAGACAGCTCTCTTTGGGTACCGTAAGTAGCAACATCTCCCCCTTCTTCCTAAACATACAAAGAAAATCCCGTTTTTCTCAGGAAAGAAACGCTAAAAAACATAATATGTTATCTTCTACGGCTGTAACCGCTAAGCATGACTTTCTTCCCCTGATAGCTTTGAGTTAAACAGCGGTTGTCACTTAGAAAAAAAATCTCCTTCCTTCTGTCAATCTCCAGATTTTCCCCTCCAACGGGGTGTCTGTTTTTTGTCTGAGAGCAGCGGCTTTTGGGCTTCATTCCGTCAACAGGTTTTGTCTGAAGGTGTCAACCAGTAGTTGGTCGTTTTCTTTCAGGATTGGAGTGCCGGGTCGCTGGACCGTGGAGGCCCCAGAATGTGCCAGTGGGCGGGTAAACGAGCACATTGGTGGGGCAACAAACACCCAATCATCGGCTCTGCTTCTTAAGAGCCGCCGACGTACCCGTTTGCTCTATCGGTCTTTGTCTGGTTGTCTTTTTGTCGAGACAAATGTTGTTTGTTATGGACACGAGCTTCGCCACACCCAGACCTTTTCCAGTTGTACATTCCATAACCCTTTTTCGGATGGGAACGGATTTATGGGGAACTCTGAAGCGGGAAAGTATTATGCGGCACAGAGGTCCGGAAAAATTTTGGAGGACATTTTCAATCCGTTTGGAGGAATCTTCCGCAGACACTGCCGTTTTTTTTCCGGGGCGCTCACTGACATTGACGTGAAATAGAAACCAGCTCAATTCTTTTAAAAATTCAATGGAAATATATCTTGCCGTGTTATCAGATTAGTTGAATGCTCACCTTCTTTTTAATTACGTTGCAAGGCGGGTTGGTGCTGGGGGGGGGAATTGTTCCATGCACTCAGAATTATAAGAAGGCAAACACGATCCGTTTAATGGTCAACGCTAGTTAGTTCCGCACCCCTTTAAACTAGACCCCCGTTTTCGCCACAGGCTGAGGACAAAACTCTTCAGGCGACCATTGTCTGACATGTCGGATGTAACGATCAGTTTGCAATCCCGTATTTAAGAAACACACGTCTGACTCTTCCAAGTATTTAACGAGAAACACATCTCGATGTGCAAGGAGATCTATTTTCAGTCCATAGATCCAACCGGTGCGACATTTTCAATCAGCGGGGAAATTTCTCTTCTCCGGGATGTGATTTGGCGCGGCTGCGCGGCCGGGCGGACAATCAAATCGCGGGCCACTCCATTTGACTGAAATTTCACTTTGCTGGTGTGGGAGAGAATCGGGGAAAGGTGGGAGGTAAGAAAATGCATTTTTGATCGAAAAGGGGCAACCTGCTAAAAAGGCCGCTGATGTAATTGTCGCGGCCTTAATTCGTTTTTTCAGTGTCGCAAACGCAAAGACTCAAACCCTACTTTCATCGAAGTGCTCGTTAGCCACCTCAACTCACGCGTGCATAATTCTCACTTGAGTTAAAGAAACCAGGCGAAGCAGGTTGGTGGACTATAGGAATAAGAAATAACATCCAGGCTACATACATGAGGCAAGTTGGAACAGTTTTATAAAATCCCGCATAGCGGTAATTAAACATGACAGAATTGTCAGCATTCCAGTAACCTTATTTCTGTTGTCAGGACGGTTAATACGGAAAATGAGGTCCACTGAAGGTTAACTCTTGGAAAAAGGAAATTCGATAATGTTTTCGAACATGCTACAGCAAACTGTGCAGGGGCCATTGGAAATCTTTCTTAAGATCAATTATTATTATCTTGGTTTCGTGCGTGGTTGTCACAGTTTACACATTCATTGACCGATTCGGCCTGTTCTTATTTCTCTGTATGTTCATGATCAAATACACCTAGGTGTAAATGAACACCCTTCCTGCAGTAGCGTAATTAACTAGGGATAAATGTCGGGGAGGGTGGGGTGCACTCATTCTTTTTTTCAAGGAGATAACACAAGAAAATAGGCTGCAGCTGCATAGCTATATAAACTGTAGGGAAATTATCTACAGATTTCCAAGGGGGGTAGGGCATCCGCCAGTTACACCACTGCCTTCCTGCAATGGACATTTTTCTCCTTAAACAAACGAGAATTGAGTTTGTTATGTTCTTCTGCTGCTATACTTCTTTGGCTAACGTTGATGCTGCGGTCGTTGCTGCTGTAGCTGACTATACTGCTGTTGTTGATAGTGAGAGTGTTGTTGCTGGTGCTTATGCTGCTGTTGATGTTGCCGTTTTTTGCTGTTGTTTCTACTGTTGATGTTGCTGCAGTTGTTGCTGGTGCTGCTGTTGATGTTACTGTTGTTTCTGCTGTTGTTGCTGGTGCTTGTGCTACTGCTGATGTTGCTGTTGTTTCTGCTGTTGTTGCTGGTGCTTATGCTGCTGTTGCGGTTGTTGCTGCTGTTGATGTTGCTGCAGTTGTTGCTGATGTTTGTGCTGCTGTCGATGTTGCTGCTGTTACTGTTGTTACTGCCGTTGACGTTGTTGCTAGTGCCGATGCTGATGTTGATGTTACTGTTGCTGCTGTTGTTTTCTACTGTTGATGTTGCTGCTGTTGTTGATGGTTCTTGTGCTCCTGTTGATGTTGTTGCTGTTACTGTTGTTACTACTGTTGATGTTGTTGCCGGTGCTGATGCTGATGTTGGTACTGCTGTTGCTGGTGTTGCTGCCATTACTAATGTTTCTGTTACTGGTGCTAATGT